ACTACCGTGGCTCGGGGGAGGGTCCTCTTCACAGCTCTCACGTCCTTGTTGAAATATGCGGGCCCATTTTTTAACCATCGTATATGAAGGCGCAGAATTCTGAAAAACCGATGACATCTCTTCAAAAATGTTTTTTAGTGTATTTACCTTCTTTACGGGGAATTTTATCACAACGTAGTGGTCAAAATTCAGAGAATTTTCAGATTAGGCTGACATGGTGATGTTTGTCGTACAATAAATAATAGAATTATGATTGCAAACTTAATAAGTGATTAATTTTATATTACTACTGAGTGTTGTAATTAGTGACCTGAGTAAAAAGCTAATTACTCATCGTTAAGTACCCGAGGCCGCGAACTTTTTAGCCGGCCTAGTAGATTAAATATTTAAAATTATATATTTTAGTACGATTCCGTGCTAAATATGCTTTTATAGGACTAAGATCGAACGCCTCGTTTCCAGTAAAATGGGGCTCCGGTTCTCTACACTCACCACATGAAACACAATACTGACGGTGATGAATTAAATGAAAAATTTTCTGACAACGTGAATGTCGGATGAAGCTTCCATGAACTTTGATATAGATAAGTATTACGAAGCGGATAAATAAAAATCCTTAATTTTACAAAGTTACTAAACGAATTTATCGACAACGTTTTTTAATTCGCTAATGGCACATCAATAGAGGTATCTATGGAATAGAAAAACGGCAACAACCTTGTAAAATAAAGAAGTTGAGAATAATATAGCTATCTTATCTTGTACTATGTTAACATCAGATGTATATAGAATTCAGCTATAAAATTTTTGTTCCTATTTTAGGTAGCGTACTTCCCTTCCTGTCATGCGTTCATTCGTTGTCATGGTCATGTCTTTTTTTGCCGAGGAGGTTATTTTGGTTTAAATATTGATGACATAGCATAGGTATTTGATTTAAGTTTGCAAGGTTGTTACCTTGTAAAAGAAAGAAGATGAGAATAACATAGCTATCATATTTTGTATTATATTAAACGTCATAATATGAAAAAGTTCAGCTGTAAGAATCTTGTTCTTATTTTAGGATTTTCTCTTTGTAAGTTATTACTCTGAGATTCAAATCATGACCATATAATAACAGGTTTTTTAGCGGGATCTCGACCGGCGGCGGATTTCTGCTCCTGTATTATTGTTTGAATAATGGGTTTTAATATTTAAAGTATTGCGATTTTGTGTATTAAATAACTGCGCGTGTGAACCATATATCTATATAGTGGAATGGTGAAACAAGTTTGAAATTCACATCATCCGATGATGATGTGAATTTCAAAATAAAGTGTCTGTCGGCTTAGGCGCCTTGAGATAGTATCGCCAACTATATATATCAATAGTATAGCTTAAGTTGCCGTTAAAATCTCCCAAAAACTATGCAATGTAACGCATCAATATATTGTGAAGCATTGTAAAGGATTATCAATCACTACACATAAACTTAGATTACTATGCTAAGTCTATGCTTGATACTCACAAATTAATAAGAGTAGTAGTACTAAAGTACAGACGACCGTCTTCCATACTGAAAAATTGGTATCAATATACAAAGTAATCTATGATTAGTCTATAGCGAGCACTGACCTCTATATATACAAGTACGCTGGACTGGCTATACCATACAAAATGACTGTGCTAATTTGAAGCGCCGCTAAAGGATGTCTTGAAAAATATAATTGACATAATATGCCAAAGTTTGTTGACTTATTTATATTATCTTATTTAATAAGTCTGTATTTTGAACTTTTTAACTAAAAAACGAAAGTATTTTATGTTGTTTGATTGTGTATAATATTAGTTACATAATAAGAATTATTTTTAATAATAATGAGAATGTGCGTAATCTGTAAAACTCGTTACCAAAAAGGGAAGTGGTTTCATTTCACAAGTAAGTGAATGCGCAGCTAATATTAAACAAATTAAAACTATTTGATAATGTAAACACTTAATTTTTTTTATTAATCTTATTATCATATATACCAACATATTTGATTATATATTAGTGAGTTTTGATAAACAGTAAAATTCAATAGTGTTGTCGAGTTCCTTGTCTATAATACTTATCGATATTCTTTCCTACCCATATCTGTTAACAAACAAAGTCGCGAACAACAGATGATTATCAAATGTTCATTAATTAACAGGTTTCCAACTGAACCTAGACTAAAATTATGGCTTAAAAGCATAAATAGTGTGAATTGGTGTCCGAAACAAAATGATCATACTTGTTCAGAATATTTCACAGACGACTGTTTTATTAGACATGAGAACTGCACCACTTTTAAAAAGTCCAGTATTCCGACAATATTTTCTGGTAGTACCAGTACCAGTAAGTATAAAAGTATTAGATTATTATTTCAAATGTTTATTTTTTATTTCTTCTTTCCTCATTTTCCCACAAACTCAAGGGCCATAGCCAAGTGTCAAAAGGTCATCTGATGATGTCGAGCCACGTTGGATGTGTATTAGTGGGTTGCGGCTAGAGGAGATTCCTCTTCCTGTACCGCTGTAGTCGAGGCGGAGTTGTCAGGGTAGAGGAGTGTTGGTATGGCGATTGGCGATGCGATGCCACTCGACTATCCTTCGTGATTTTGGTGAGGCTGCACCACTTGATGCTTCCAAGTGCTCGTTTTTTCCTGGCTCCATTCACATATCGAGCTCGGGGAGTCCGTAGTGCAGGTTGAGTCAGAGGTCGTGAAGGGCAGTGTGCCTTGTGTTTCTGGTGCGCATTATCTAAGAAAAGAAACGGGGGTAGAAGTCAGCAACTAAGGAGGGGCTGCCATTGGGCGGCTGGAGCCGGAAGGGCCGCGGGTGTACATGAAAGCGTTTCCGTGGCCCTGTCAATTTGCGGCAGAGGTAGAACAACATGGGGTTTAATTAAGTGCGGGTCTAGAGATTTAATTCTCTCTCGAGTCTCAAGATTTAATTTGTGCTTTAACTTCGTGGTGGCCTTACTTTAGTTTATTTCTTATTTACAAATTCTGGACATCGTTTACATTCACGGTTTTGGCAGCTTCCTCTTGCGCAACATCCACCGACAAAGGCAATCAAGTGTCGATATGTCAAGCCCCCCCAGAAAACGTGGCACTGCCGAAGCTGGAAAGCTTAGGAGGACAAACTTAGGAATGAGGATATCGGCAGTAAAACCAGAGTGACCGACGTCGCCCAGGATTAGTAAGCTGAAGTGGCAATTGACCGGCCATATATTGAAATTAAGATTGAAAAACCGATAACCGATGGGGAAAAAAGGTTCTCGAATGGCAGCCTCATACTGGCAGGTGAAGTGTCGGAAGTTCCCCCACCAGATGGAGTGAAAACCTGGTAAGACATACAGGAAGTTGATGGGTGCAGGTGACTCAGGGCCGTGCTTCGTGGTATTCCTTGGGGGAGGCCTATGTTCAGCAGTGGACATGTGAAGGACTTTAATGATGATGAATGATAATTGCATTATATTAATATGATACATAAATAGAGTCGACGTTATTGGTAGAGTCCGTCTATCCATAGATTCCATTCTATTTATTTAGGTATAGGTAGGGTATAGAATTTTTACCGATATGTTTTGTCGCACTGTCTCATCCCTATTATTAGTTCATTGGACGTGCACTTCTGCCGTCAGCGCCGAAATGACGGAAATCAAATCTCTTCATCATGTCACGGTGTATAGCCAGTCCAGCGTATTTGTATATATAGAGGACAGTGATAGCGAGCCTCAAAAACATGAAGGCTAGAGAACAGGAGAACGATCGCAGTAGAAAATAGTGTCCCAGAAATATGGACACCATAAGTGAGGCGCTGCGATCGCTAAGTTCGCTCAATAAAAGTCATTTTCAGTCTATTTTTCCGATCAGATGCTAAACCACTTGCACATCCACGCACAATAAAATATTTCTCCATTTTTTGATTTTTTTTTGCCAAAAATTAAAAAATTACGGAGAATGAAAATTTTCTCACTAATGCCGCGAAGAAAATTTATACATTATTTAACTAACTTCATCTACTTGTACTCATAAACAACTAACTTCGCAGTCACTACTCACCGACGTCAGCGCCGCTATAATTTCAACAATTTTCAAGGACATGTTCTCCTGTTCTTTAACCTCCATGCTATGGAGTGTGAAAACCATTAAATATGGGTGGCGCCACTATAACTACGGGGTAAATTTTAAAGAACGCACCGAAAAATATTAGAGGGATAGACTACTTTTTCGAGGTTATATTTGCTAAATAAAATTATTTTAAGATTTTAGAGCTACTGAGCAGTTTAGCAGCACACTTGCAGACAACTGCTAAGTTCATTTCATCCCCGTAGCTACTCAAGCGCTGTTGTGGAAAGTTTTTGAACTGTTATTTACAGCTTACAGATGGCCACTTTTTCAACTATTCTACTATGGGAATTGGTACTCCTTACTTCTACACTCCATACTCCATGATAAAAAAAATTAAAAATGACATTTAGATTTTTAAATTTATCTAAGGCAAAGGCATTTATTTGTTTCAGCCTAGTAGCCAGTGGATGTAAAAAATCCTCACAGAACTTAGAAAATTTATCTTTATTGGTTTTAAGCTTATGTACGTGTTCACAATGTGACCATATACATAAGTTTAAACCATTATTAACGTTTATTTAGATATAAAGAAAAAATTTGAGAAATATTTATAAAGTCTTTTATTTTTATATTTCAGTGTAAATTTACAAGTGCAAGCGAATTCTTTTCTTTGAAACCATTTCCTTTGAAGCCATTGAAACTTCTATAATTACAATCTAATATTTTATCAAAGGAACTGATGGTTCTTTGCACATAGGTAACATTGGGTAACATAATATTCAATTCAATGGGGTCGGCCGGTGAAAACTTTTCCTAGAGGGCGCCAGCATAGCTTTCACCTGTCAAAGTGCTTGGTTTGTGTTTATCTCAATTACTATAAATAAGTTTAATTACTAAAGGAAAAGGATTATAATTTATTACATTATGTATTCGACATGGCGGGTATGTGAATTAAAAGCTGAACTAAAGAAGCGAGGTGCGTCTTTACGGGGAAGGAAAGCAGATCTAGTGGAAAGGTAAATATATTATAATATCTTCTTTCTTTAAAATATCTTCTCATTATTTATCTTTGAATACATAACATTACTCATTTGGGTAAGGTTTACAATTCGGTCGCCTGAATTTGGGGGTGAGGGGTGGCGTGGGGGGGGGGGGGAGGAGTTGTAGAGTCACCCCCTACTTCCACTTTCTGCCGGACGTGCTTAGTTTTTTTTTTATTTATTTTTAAAAATCTCATTTTGAGGTTATGTTTCGTAATTTTTATGACAATTTTAACCTGATTTATGGGTAGAGAGAGTTGGAGGATGGAAGCCCCACGCCACTTAACGTGGTGCAGTCGAGGGAAGTCCGGTCGACGGAGCCCCGCTTCGCGGGGCTCCTACTTCTGAGTGGTTTACAAAAAAATAACCACGAAGAGGATGACGGGGTCTATTCGCTCGCTTCGCTCGCTCACACGACCCCGTCATCCTCTTCTAACCTAACCTGTCCGAGTCGGGGTGCTCCACGTCCCAGGCTCGCTTCGCTCGCTATTGCACTCGATATAACACCAAATTATTAACTTTCGTAACTACTTTAATTTATAAACATAATTTATGGCTGCCACCATTTGTAAGAAAAGATCTTTGCGATATTTAGCAGTATTCCGCCGCCACAAATATTTCACTATTCACCAAAATTCTGAAACTCGGAAGCAACACCATGACGAAAAGCTGTCAACAAAATGGCCGGCATAGCGATTTAATTTTACATATTTTTAAATCGATTCAAATCGAAATTAGATGAATCGATTCACAAAAAATCGAAATCTTAAAGATCGATTTCGCAAAAATCGTTTTTTTTTATTTGCGTTAAAAGTTTATATTTACGATATCAAAAGATACAATAAAGTACAGATAACATTGAATAATTAAATTAAAAACTGTCATTCTTTACGAGTTGGGGTACATTCAACCAATTGTAAATAATTTTGCAAATCTTAATAAAACAGAAAAAGATTCGATCTCGATTCTCTAGGGTGAAATATCGATTCACTAGATCGATTCAATACTATATATCGATATGACATTGACAGATGAAATGTCAAAAACGTAATTAAATTAGTCATTTACCAATATTTTTAAAAAATAATTAAAAATACTTCGACGCTGCTCCGGCAGAAAAAATTGAGTGGGGGTGCTTCAGATAAACCCCTTTGACTCCCCTCACATTGACAGAATCTTCAAATTCAGGCGACCGAATTGTAAACCCAACCCACTCATTTACTTTACTTTAACACGTTTATCGGAAGTTATACCATTTAACCTTTTAAAAAGAAGTACGATCTTATCTTAAAGATTCTTTATATACTTACATAATACTGACGTTTAAAGATGGTATATTATTTTTTCTCAGATTAGAGTTATATGACCAAAATTTTAATTTTGGGAACACCGAGAATCAGGATGAAGAAGATCTTACAATGAACCTTCCAGAGTCCAACACATATAGAGATATAAATAGCTGCACTTTCTTACCACCTCTAACAAAAATGCATATTAGGAATTATTTTTGCTGGTAAGTTTGTTCTTCATAATAATCATATAAAATTACTCAAAATACATAATATTTAAGTTAATAAAATTTCTTTTATATTTTATTCTCATTATCCTCATTAGAAGTTGGTTTTGGTTTTTGTTAACAATAAGGTTGGCGTGCAGGTTGTTAGTCACTATAATAAAAAAATGATTATAGGTTTGAGATGCAATTATATATTATAATATTTTATTTGTTACAGTGATGATAAGAAACTTGATAAGGCTAAATCCTTATATGAGTCTCGATACCTCATCCTTGCAAGAGCTTCAACTGTTGGTGACTCTACTTTTGTAAAAGGCTATTGCAAAAAGACTATGAGAGCTTTACAGTATGAAGTAGATGTTAAAATTCATAAAAATGGAACACCTCAGGAATCCCACTGTGAGTGTCCAGCTGGAAGTGGCATAGAGGCAAAGTGCAAGCATGTTGCTGTGCTTTTAACTGGAATTGAACACATGGTGCATCACAAAATTATATTACTGCATCAAGTTAGCACACAAAGGTTGCAGACATTTCATATGCCCAAAACTCCATTTACAGCATCTCCTATAGCTGCACACAAGTTACCTAAGAAAAAAAAAATAGTAAAAAGTTTAGTCCATACCCTTTTCACATGATTGACAAAGAGAGTTACAACAATAAAATTCGTAATTTAATTTTAAATTATCCAAATTCTACCATGCCTCTCAAACATTTATATGAACCAGCAAATCCCTATGCCATTATAGCAGATCATGCCTACACATCTACCAACCCTGAAGATAAAATTTTAGAAAAACTATGTTTATTAAATGTTAATGAAGAATCTATACAAAATATTGAGAAAATTACAAGAGGACAAAAAAACAATTCAATGTGGTACGAAGAAAGAAAACACAGAATAACTGCCAGCAATTTTCATACAGTTTGCCATCTTAAAGCCTCTTCAAAACTTAGTTATTGCAAACAACTTTTTAGTAAAAAACCCTTTTCATCTAGGCCAACAACACATGGAATCTTGAATGAACCAATAGCCCTAAATGAGTATCAGTCTAAATTTGAATTAAATATTGAACCTTGTGGGTTATTTATTAGCAAGCAGAGACCATATTTGGGTGCTACACCGGATGGTCTACTGGGAAATGAATGGGAAATGATACCATTATCCTTTCAGCTGCGGAGACTCTAACCGTAATTCTCCGTTAACTGCGGAGCTGTTTAATAAAATGGACGGCTGATTGGGCCCAATCCGTTTAAACGTAAATATCTTGATTTTGGTATATCGAATACTATAATATGTATACATTTCTGAATTCTCTATGAAATTTCCTATAAACGAGTACATATATTTAATAAAGTTTAAAGTGGTTAGTATAACTAAATATAGAATAAAGTCAAAACTATCATATTTATCAATGACACAAAATTTTTTAATAGTTCAATTTTATTTTATTTTAATCTTACGTTTATTGTTTACAATATTTTATGTGCAAAATCATAGGCTACAATACAATTTTTTATCGTAAAAAGCATTAATAATAAGCTTACAAGAACCCACAATCAATTTACACCGATGTAGCATGTAGTTCGTACCAGATGCGGCATAATGCGGCGTAATGATTTAGTCAATAAAAGTAGTTTTTTTTATTTCATTACAATGATTCAGTCTTGAATCTCTCTTTTTCTTTACATGATTCAGTCATCTTTCAATAGGTATTGCTAAGTTTTAGAAATCCGATAAAGTATTTCATAAGTACTCTTAATGCCGATATCAAAATTTTAGTCGTAAGTGCCATATTTATTGAAAAATTAATTACTTTATTTGAGCAAACAAACTTTAACAGCAGCAAGTACAGAAATAAAGATTCATTCATTCCTTTAAAAACCATAAAACCACTCAAGAGTCACTCTCAAGAGTAGAGTTATAAATAACGTTTTTTGTAAACAATACCCAATGCACCATAATATGTATCGAGTGACAGAGGCGCCGCGAGGTGCGCAGTGGTTATGTTACATTTCCAATAACCAATAACATTATTTCTCCAAACGGTAACATATTTCCTTTAACACAAACAATAGCTACGAAATAATAAAATTTAAAATAAATATATCTATTTCTGAAATAAAAAAAAATATTATTTATGTATATTTTTAAAGCACCCACTTCTTATGCATTATACAAAAATATGCCACAGTTAAAGTTCGATTCTGCACTTTTTTGTGCATCATGTACTAGTTCATTAAAACATTTTTTGTACGTGGTAGAGCCATGCTGCAGTTATATTAGTAGTATAGTTGTAGCACGAATAGGCCGGCTCGACCGGGGAAGGACCACGCTCTCACAGAATACCAGCGAGAAATAATAGCTTAATGCTTCTGTGTTTCGTATGGTGAGTGTAGAGAACCGGAGAGCCTTTTTGCTGGAAACGAGGCGTTCCATCTTAGTCATCACGGGTGACACGCATTTTTGCATTTTGATATGTAATCGAGGATAGATGTAGATGTCTATGGGCTGCAGAAACCACCACAGGTGGACTGCGTGCTCGTTTGTCACCCTATCCTATAGAAAAAAAAACATACAAAATAAAAAGGTGTATTCATTTCAACGATGAGAGCAGTGGTGGCTCGGAAGAGCCGTGGTAGCTCAGATGGTTAGCTCTTGCTGTAAATTTCATAGTATGCTAGCAAGCCGGGTTCGATCCCCGCTAGCAATAATGAAATTGTTAATTGCAATTTTAAGTGCTGATCTACCACGTGCTCGGCGGTGAAGAAAGACATTGTGAGGAAACCTGCACGTCTGTGAAATAAGAAAAAAAATATTTCGAAGACATGTGAAGTTCGCCAACACGCATTTTGGCAGCGCGACGGAAACTTCTTTGCATTTGCCCAGCTGTGGGGCGTAAAAAAGGCTGTAAATTAACTAACTTAAGTATTCATTTCGACGATGAGAGAGCCCTGGTAGCTCAGATTGTTAGCTCTCGCGTTAAATTTCACAGTACGCTAGCACACCGGGTTCGATCCCCGCCGGCATCAATGAAATTATTAATTACAATTTTAAGTGTTGATTTACCTTTGCTCGGCGGTGAAGAAAACATCATGAGGAAGTCTGACTGTCTGAGAAATAAAAAAAAAATTTCCAAGGCATTTTCCATGTGCAGTTTGTCAAAACGCATATGGGCAGCGCGGTGGATACTTCTTTGCCGTAAAACTCTTTCAGAAGTGAGGGAAGGCCCAGCAGTGGGACGGAAATCGGCTGTGTAACTTAACTAACTTAACAATTTCGACGATGATAGTCTGAAATAATTAGCTGAACAAATTATAGCTAGGCAACAATAAAAACTAAATGGATGGATGGACATAAGTATAAAATTGAATAAATATATAACATAGGTACTTATTTCTTTAAAAGGCTCCTGGTACTTGTTGGATTTACTGTATCTACAGTACAATTCATTTACGAATGGTACTGTAGGTAGCAGCAATCTTGCTATAGGTTGAAACATAACGCAACGTTACACGATTTGCAAAGTAAATACAGATAAAATGTACATTAAAAAAACCAGTATAAGAAATATGTGTCTGAGGTGACCTTAAAAACCACAACCTGTTCATATTAAATTAAAAAAACAAAAATTTCAAATATTAAAAAGCATATTATGTAAATACTAGGTATCTAACTTTATGTTTTAATAAATTGTTTAAAAAATTCCGAAGTCTTGTGTTAACATACATGACATATCCAAATGCCACATTCAATTTTTTATAAATCATCGAATAATCGTGGAGTCAACCAAGCTCCATTTCTCTGCTCGAGGGCGCTAGATTCTTTACCATTCTAACCATTCAACCGAATTTGAACTTGATGCAGTATGGCAAACTTTAGTTCCTTTTTTCGCCACCCGCAAAAAAAGAGAACTAGAATTCACTTCTACGGACGTCTCAAAAATGGACACTATTGCACCTATTGCGTATATATAGTAAGTTTCGGAGCGGAATTAAGTGAATTAGTGTGTTTAATTACTAGTGTTTTTAGTTTTAATTTGTGTAAAGTAAAATAAAGTGTTAATTTAGGTAATTTTATCGGCAATTTTTATTGTCACGAACCTCAAGCTCGTAACAATACATTAAAATTTTGAAAATATTGCACTTTATCCACATTTTGATGTACTAAAACTGTGAACGATGAACAATTATACATATTTTAACACAAAACTGACAGTCAACACTAAAATTTTACGTACATTTCAAGTCAACTCTCGTCAACCAGCATGTTAGTTTTAAGATAGCAGTTGGGTAATTATTTCATTTGACGTAAATTGGGCAGATTGGGAAAAAAATAAAATACAAATGTATTTTTTAAGCGCAAAATGAGTTTAAATTGAAAGTTTCTAATGTGTGAATTATTAAAAAAATTAAGGCCCTCTCCTAGGGCCTCAATTAGTAGAGATATGGGCCCTGAAGTTTTAGGAGTCACGGTGATGACATTATGTGGGTACGGTAGTGACGATTGTTCACGGTAATGACACTTCGTGCACACAGTAATGACGTTTGAACACGGCAATAATAAATGATACTTCGTAATGTTCTTTTCCCCTTGAAACATATACTAAAAATTTAAAATAAAACAGATTGTTAATGAAATAAATGTTTATTAAAAACTTCTTTGGTAAAGATATAATCTCACAAAATAACTTTCTCAGTTCTGTAATAATTATAACTTAAACTTGATACATTTATTACCTTTTATCACATACATACAAAAATGGAAAATAAAACTTAAACTTCTATTCAACTTTTATATGTTTACTGAGATCAACTATTCTTTTAGTGTAATTGGTCCTTGACTAGGTGCAAATAAAAACAAATGATATATTAATAATTTTTCATAGGTTAGTTATTGAGATCAATTAACTTTTCAGAGAACAATAATATACTAAATTATAATTTATAATATAATATAATGATTTCTTATATTTACGCGAACACTACACATTAAAATAATACTAGTTTTTACGGAATTTATCGCGTATATTTAACTTTTTAAATACCCGACGTTTCGAGAGCTTTACAGCACCCATGGCCACGAGGTTTTTTTTTCTTTTTTTTTTTTTGCGCCCGAAGCAATTAAAGGGCTACCCTATACGTAGGGAGGCGGAAAATGCATTACGCACACCACGATAGCCGGTCTATCGTGGTTATGAGGGGCTCACTGTCCTACCGGGGACCCTAAGTGATACCCTCTAAAAACCGCCTTTGGGGACAGGCAACCGGCTGATTAAGCTCTATTGTGCCTTATCATGAGCGACCCTCTTTTGGGAAAAGAGGGCGCAGGCGGCTAAGTGCCGCTGAGGGAGTGCCTACCAAGGCAAATTAATGTTAGATATTACAATAATTTTATATAATTAGAGTTGGCCTGAGCCGCCAGGAGACAGTTCAGGTCGTTTGAAAGTTTATTAGGCGGGTCCGAGAGAGAGTTTCTCGGCCTGCGGACACGATAGCGAGAGGGGGATGGGGCTGCATAAGAAGCTGCCTCACGAATTAAATGGTTTGGGTGCGACTCTGAGGCTTTGAAGGAGTTCTCAGAGAGTTTTTTAAAAAATTGTTGAATTGTTGGGAGCTCTAAATCCCGATGAAGGTCGGCATTACGGACGTACCACGGTGCATTCGCAGCTCGACGACAGAAGAGGTTCTGAACTGTTCTGAGTTCATTTAAAATGTTAGGGTTTGCGTGGGCAAAGACGGGGCCCGCGTAGGACATGACTGGTCGTATACAGACCTTGTAAAGGGCACGCTTGTTTCGAAGGGACATTTTACTGTGTCGGCCCAACATACTGTTGAGCCTACTCAGATAAAACCGTGCGTGACGGGTTACTCTTTTGACGTGGGGCTTGAAAGTGAGCCCTGTGTCTAGAGTGACACCTAAATATTTGGCGGACGTATGCCAGGGGACAGGGGTCCCTAGCATACGTATTGGTGGAGTGTTTTTGAGACGGCGTCGTTTATAATCGAAGTGAACGGCGGAGCTCTTCTCCGGGTTCACATCGATGCGCCATTTTTTGAACCAAGCACCTAGGTCATCAACTGACTTTTGGATCTTGTTCCGTATGAAGGGTAGTGAGGCACCTTTGCAGTAGATGGCAGTGTCGTCTGCGAAGAGGGAGAGTTGAACACCTTTCGACGGGATGGGAATGTCGTTGGTGAACAGGATGTACAGCAGAGGAGCAAGTACTGAGCCCTGAGGGACACCAGCCTTGATAGTTCGCTGTGAAGAAAGCGTGCCTTCGTGTCTAAAACGAAAAGTACGATGTTTTAAATAGGAGGCCACGAGACGAACTAGACGATCGGGGAGACCTATTTTATAGAGCTTGTAGATGAGGCCTGTGTGCCAGACTCTATCGAAAGCTTTGGCTATATCGAAAAAGACCGCGATGGTCTTATGACGACGAGGATAGAAACCGCTGAGGATATATTCCACAATGCGGTGAACTTGTTTCACGAGAAGGTGAGAAGGACTGAGATTTATACAAAGGTACTCTGTGGACTGAGATGTTCAACGTCCAGATGTCATAGTTAACCGCGGTTAAATTTTAATCTATGGTAACCATGGTTAACTATGACATCTGGACGGTAAAATTTTAATCTATGGTAACCGCGGTTAACTATGACATCTGGACGTTGAACATCTCCGTCCTTCCCGTGACCATAGGTGCTGTAAAGCTCTCGAAACGTTGGGTATTTAAAAAGTTATTATAATATAATAGCTTAATTAAAAATGACAACTAAAAGTATATGTGAAATTATCAAAAACTAAGTAGACATTATTGTAACTATAAACTCGAAATGTAAAAAAAATAATCAAAATTAGCAAACATTTAGGTATTTTAATATTTTTACTCAGGTAGTAAATTTTCGACATCATCAAATATAAGCTGACCTCTGCGATTTATATTGGGTTCTTTTAATACTTTAACAATAACATTTTTTGTGACACAGTCTTCATCATCTTTGTTCGGCCAAGAAAAAACATTTACGGTGTTTTTTATCCTTCTGAGAGATTTTACTGTAGAAGTGTTGTCATCATGATTAATATTTATCACTTGTCCAATAAAATACTTTATGGCAGTATTCTTCTTTAACATTGGTACGATGTAACAACCCACGAGCCTATTTGTATATTCTCATATGGATCCTTTAGCTTTGCCTTTTCTAATCCTGTTATATTAGAAGATGCTTCGTCAAATTCACTACCTAACGGGTCAACGCTTGACACATTCGTTGAATCGGAGATAGCTTCATTATTTGCTGTAGAAGCACCCGGCAAAGCGATTAATGTTTCGGCATAAATTGGAGCAGCCTCAAATGGGGTTGACGTCTCAAACATCACAATTTCGGATGGTTCTAGCGTAATATCTAAATCTGAATTAATATCATTAACTGCCGACGTTTCTATAATCATGCTAACATCTTGAGACAAACAGAACGTTTGTTCTTCAAATTTCGCAGTTTTGATGTCTTGTAACTCTCTTGGTAACTCTGCGTTGGTACGAGCTAAAAATGCTTCCGATCTTTTAATTTTAACAACTTCAAGTGACGAGCACGACGCCCGTTCTCCTTCATTTTTCTCATCACTTTTTTGATTTTGGAGCAATTGCTCTTCAAACTGGTTTCGGAAATTATTGCGAGATCTTTCTTCACGACTTGGCATGAGTACAACATTGGAAACAATCACAAGTTCTTTAGAATTGTTTGGCTGATTCGACTCTTCTGTGGGATCTTCAGAATCTGATTCAGGTGGCGTATCTTTTTCTTGTAACATTTTAAGTTCTTTTTTCTTTCTTCTTAAATTCTGTTGGTTTATCTTCCATTTTTTTCTCTGTGCCCTCTGTTCCCTTGGCTTTAATTCTTTAATTGGTACAATTTTTTTTAGTATCCTTTCTTTTAATATAGCGAGCTTTTTCTTTTTCTAAGTATTTTTTGTTTAGCTCAGGGTTAGACTTTATTTTATTGCGCTTTTTTTTGTTCCGCTAATCGTTTTTTCTCAACATTTCTTCTCTATTTACTGGCTTTTTACGTCGTGGCATGTCTATTTTTTGTCTAGAACAAACAAAATTGGCGTATATAATGCACAATGCTTATTTACATACCAATTACAATCGGTACTAGTCTAAAAAAACTGTTAATATTTACTTATGTATTATATGTAAGTCATTATCATGTTATCGTCGTCATTACCGTGGCTTAAAACAACCACGGTAATACATGTTAATGACAAACACGGTAATGACAAAATCAAATATTATTCGCATAACATTGCAGGGTTAATGTTCCGGAATATATTCTGTTGCTTATGTCATAACAAAATGGTTAAATAATTAGGGAAAATAAAACCTATTGTAATATTCTGTGTACTTACCGAGGAAGTAGACCCACAATAAAGACAATTTTTTCTGATAAAAACCACGGTAACACCCTTTTTTCACTTTTTTTTTTAAATCAGTCAGGATGTGCGACGTGCGTTTTCGTTGACGGCTGCGTGATGGCTGGGAGGTGCGCGAGGCAGTTGCAGAAATTTTATACAGCTGTTGAGTGATGTACTACACGTCGTGACATGAACTGACACGGGAATGACTGTTTTCGCTTGGGACAATATTTACGATCTTGTTATTCTATCACTTTCAATTTGATTTCATTTGTTAAATCTAAGATATTAGTAATGATTATTAAGCTTTATATTAAATAGTGACTTTGACTTATAAACATACGTTTAAGATGACATTTTTGCTGAAATAATGACGAAAATGTTATATGGGACACACATGGTAGTGACGTTTTGACTCTTTAATGATAATAAAATACAAGATTAATTATAAAATACCCAAAATGTATGAGTACTCCCTGTACTGTACATTCAGTACTATATATAATAGCATGGCACGGTATAAATCCAACTTAGTTTTAAGGGGGAAATTCACCCGGACATCCGATTTACACCAAATGAAATAATTACCCAGTTTGCTTCATACATATTAAAAAACGATTTTACGCGTACTTAATAAGATAAAACACAAAATGAGATTACAAATAAGAAGATTACTTACCCAGGCATTGTTTTAACACAATTCACCACACAATAAATATAAATTAATACAAAATAATTACAAACAACTTCGTTGTTAGCGCGCGTCAATCACACTAACTAATGGCTGACTCAAGGAACGGACGACATTTAAGAATAATTTAAATAAAATATACTACTAAAGTGTATAAGCTGTGGGGTTTTTATGCTAGCCTTTTTTATCCTGTACACATTGACATATAGTAGAATGAGTTAGAAATAGCGCATAATGCTTTGTTTCTTCATTAAAGGAGCGGGTAAAAAATGTCTAACACTTGGACGCCCGCAGTCAACGGAGATATTTTCGTGTCCAAGTCTTGGACATCCGCAGTTGAGAGGTTATAAAAATAAAATGTCCATTTTCCACAAGAAACAATATCATTACTCCAGCAACTGTGCCCTATCTGGTAAATGACCCTTTAAATAAAAAGATGCTATTAAAAAAAACTAGTCCAATCTATTATCAAATCCAGGGTCAGTTGTATTGCACAAATAGGATTTACTGTAATTTAATTATTTATACATATAAAGACATGAAAGTTGTTTATATTACTAGAGATCATTTTATTTCAGAGATGATAGAAAAGTTGGATGACTTTTATAATAATTACCTTAAAAGCATAATTTTAAATAACTATTTGTATAATAATTATGATTTAATAAAAAAACAAAATTGAATGTTTTCAATTTTGTTTTTTGTTATTAAATCTGTAGGTGCATCTATAAAATGCCGGTTGGATTTCATCACTTGTAGGAATTGAGGGTATATTGAGAAACCCTCCCACTCGTTTGTGCAGTATAAAAATCAATGTAGGTGCAGAGCGCGGGAGATTCCGCTTGAGTTGTTACACGAGTGAAGTCAGTCTACGCGTGCTAAGATAATCGTTGTTCTGTCCATTGTGGTGATTCTTCTGGTGCAGGCAAGAAGGATGGTGTTGCTGAGAGGCTATGCTGTGTTACGTTGAGATGGGTAAGGTTGCTGTTGGTTTGCATAATTTGGTGTTATCATGTAGTTGTGTCCTTCACATTGCACTGGTGTGTAATTGTGATGGGGACATACTGCGGTATAGTCGAACTGTAATTACTCTATGCTGAATGTATAGAGCATTACGCTGTCCTATTATTGATAATGATTAATTACGTAAGCAAGAGAGCAAGTTGAACATCAGCTCTCACACTTTTACCATTTTTAATAATTAACGCTATCCTGTTATTTCCCATGCAATTGGCTTATTGTGTTGTACTTTCCGACAAATCTATTATTTTTATTTTTATATAAGTGTTACTTAAGTTTAATAAATATAAGTAAAAAAAGTAATGAAAAAAGCTAAAAATTGGCCTTCAATAAGAAATATATAAATATTCTATTCTATTCTTTCTATTTATTGTACATTTTTATACACTAAATGATTTTATTAAAATAAATTGTCTTGTTAAAAGAAAGAGGATGAAGTTTGTGATAATAGCAAGACATAACCGTTTCATATTTTTTTATCTGTTATTGGTATTTATCAGAACTATAATAAGGAAGGTTCTTTTTTATTTACATGATATAGACTTGATTTTTTTTTTTCAATAGATTAGGGACAGCGGCTGGGTTCTTGAGCACTGATTAACAAACCTATCTTCGCTTTCTAAACATCACTGAACAACAGTTTCAACTATATTTATAATTTAACTATCAAGGAATAAAGAAAAAGAGAGACTATATCTGTGTATTTTTATTTACAATATTTTCCTTAAAATTACATAACATAAAACAAATGAAAAATATTTCTGATGCCAAAGGAACATAGAACGAGACAAGTGGTGTCTGTAGTATTTTATAGGTTTTGGTAAGGCCTATAAGCCTTTCTATGTGTACCCTTTGACTTGCAAGTCTTTGATCATTTTTTAATACTGCAACTGGTAACTGTACTGACTGCAATATTTTTTGAGCAAACAAGTGTTGCATATTAAACCCTCTATCTGCCATTATATTATCCCCATCATCACACAAATTTAACAATGAGCTACGTTCAATCATTTGCCGGTCACTGGTTGCTCCCCCATAGCCTTCAGAACAATAAGACAGGAGACCGCCTGGTGTAGAGCCCACCAAAAACTTTATAGTGTTGGTATTTTTATAAGAGCTGTAAGTGGCTTTCTGGGATGTAGGATTGCTAGGTTTAGCAATAGGCACTTCTGTTGCATCAATAATTATTTTTGTTTTGCTACTTTCATCTTTAAATAAATTTAGGCATATAGTAATGTACTAAATCACATCGAGGCCAAATATCAATCATTGACCATAATTTATGTACAAAGTGAATCCAAGTAACTATTGTTTGAAACCTCGGTTTTGCTTATATTGAACATTTTAGCTATTTCGTAATCAGGTTTATTGCATCTGAGCTTAATAAGTAATATAAGGAATTGATCTTCAATTGAGACGCCAATAACTTGACTCCAGCGGTATGTAAGACTATTGGCCATTGGCAAGAGGGTGTTGAGCACTAGTCGAAATTTTGAGTAAGATTCTAATCCCGTGTAAAACATGAGTGACTCATTATCAGTTAATAATAAATCTGTAGAAAATATTTTTAACATAACACTTGTCTGGGTTCCTACGGACTTGTAATTGTGGACAGGAGTTAATTCCTCAAGGTTTTCTGCCTCTGGGCACTGGTCACTAGCAATATCCAGAGTCTGGATACACTGTTCACTTGCGATATCCAGAGCCTGCGTACAAAGTTCTTCAGCAAAATTTAAGTCTGGATATGGATGCAGAAGTGTGCGCCTGCTCAAAAAGCGCCTTTTTAATATTACGTGCTAATAATCGCTCCTCTCGAGCGTGACCTTCCTGCGAAATAGCTTTCGTAGTCCATGCAAACACTGATGGGACGGCAGATTTTTTCAAGTAACGATGCTGATGTTCATTACCTGAAAATATCAAAATTGTTAAGGAAAATGTACTTATGTGAGGTGCAAGGTATTTTAAAACAATATCAAAGGATATACCTGTATAAATACTGGTTTTTTGATAATCAGTCTCTAAAAATGATTACGACATAACCTCGAATTTTTTTCAGGCTTAAAATTTATTCTTCTTATAGCTTTGAGCCACATTTTTCTTATATCTTCGTTTTTAGGGAATTGATGTGCACCAATTTCTTTGCAATAAGGTACTTCACACATCTTTGGCATTGTGAAAATAGTAATTATTCAAAATATCTCATACAATTTTAACTTTTTTTGGTTAAAGCTATGCTAGCGCCACTTTGACAGTTGCCATTTGCCAACCCCATTGATGTTGATGTAACAACTTTTCTCAATTTTTACTCCTAGTAGTATTTATGGTATGAACTTGTTGCTCCTCCTTTTACCAAATATGCAGCAATATTCAAAGCTTGAGCTATTTAATAGCTGAATGCTCCTAGGCAGTTTTTAACCTGCAACAAAAATAAAATTTATTTAAAAATGTATGTATTAATGAGTTGATAGACATAGTAGCATTTTATTTAACATTGTGTATTACAAGGGTCCTTTCACTGAAGGTTAATTTTTCAATTGTTACATATAAGTTATTTATAAAATAAAATCCAACATAAACAAATGAGAATTACAATTGATTTAATAGAATATTTCATTTGTTTGACTTCACATCAGGCATCAGCTTGTAAACAATCTACTATTGTTCTTGGCAGATTACCATTCACATTCTATTTTTTCGTCGCCACTTTAGATATTAGATATGGCTATATTTTTAGATACTCTGCGATCTGTCGTACATTCATAAGATGTCCTATAATAAACACAGGATAATATAGATAGGGCGCATAACCATGCCTTAATGGGTACTTTAATTTGCTTATATGACGAAATTAAACAAACGTTTTAAGAAAAAGATGTGAGAAAAGTATAAATGAATATTTCCGTAAGTATATTGATATTTGTTGGTTTAAACCTTATTTTCAACAGTTCCTGAAATAGATGGGCATGGACATTTCAGCATTTATCATAATATATATTGTTATCAGAAATACTGAAAATAGATTAAATATAAACTCTTTCCTTAATTAACATCAGATTTGCATGAATTAGATATGGGGTAACATAATATTCTGACTAAAATAATCTCACATTGTAGATTAATAATATGGGCGTAAATGGTCATGCATTTGAAAGAGAATTGTTCAGGAGTTCAGTCAAGTCAGTCACACACCATTTAGTGTCACTGCTACTAGTTATTTCAAGTACAGTGAAACAATTTATTAAAAGTTGAAATGCCATCTTATGTCTTTAGACATTGTAAAAATTATTATGCAAGTGTAAGGTTAAAAATGTATCATTTAATATAATTACTTTTACGGATTTTATCGCGTGTCATTTAGTTAATTTTAATCGAATTTCGGGTACTTTCCAGCTTTTACTGAAAAATATAAGCTTTACTGAAAAATACAGACATGGCTTGAAGAACAAGCATCCAAGCCAAAAATCTTAATAAAAAAATATCATGACATTGATTTTTTTAATAAGATTCTTGGCTCAGATGCTTGAACTTTAAGCCATCATGAAATTGATTTTTTTATTTAACTGGCTTTAGGGCTCTGGGTTCTAGCCTTTCTGAGACTATCATTTCTTTCGGACTTCACAATATGCTGATGCGTCACATTGTGAAGTTTTTAGGAGATTTCGACGACAGCTCAACCCTGCGGACAGTTGATGACGACAGCCACTCAAGTTCATAAGACGAAGAAGAAGCGATCAAAATAACTTGAGGTTTGTATCAACATCAAAGCACTTGTTTCGTTGTTTTTTCTAATAGTTCACAAGCGCAGACACTTATGGTGCATAAAACGATAGCTTGATCTCTGCGACCGCTGTCAGTAAAAATCACGCCTATGAAGTCCTGAATTTCTTAGTAGTACCGACAGTACCTGTCAATATCATACTCTATGGGCATGTACTAAGTAGGTTGGCTGCCCATAAAGTATGACATTACAGGTCTGTACTACTAAGAAATTCAGACTTCAAGCTGATAAAACAGGAGCACCAATCCGTCGACGGCCAATTTTCCGCCAAAACTCCCATGACATTGACTGTTTGTCAGACCACAGTGTACATATGTGTCATATTCAAATAAAATTCAAAAAATTGGTGCTTTTATTCTTCTTTCTAGTGTTTTTTTTAAATAGTGGAACGATTAAACAAGTGCTTCGATGGTGATGTGGATTTTAAAATAAGGTATCTGTTTGCTTAGGCGGCATGGGATACTATCGCTAACAATCTTAATAGTATTTTAATTTAAATTTATAACATTTTATTCCGACGTAAATAGTCAACGAAACAAATTCCGCTTATTTTCTTTGATTTCGAAGCGTTAATAAGTTTTTAAAAGGTGTGATTAAATATGGTGACGTATACAGTACCTGAATGCAGTTCATTGAGAAAATAAAATCCACAAAATTAAATATTTCACACGTAAGTGCAATTAAAATGTTTAGCAATCTAATGAAATATTTTGGAATTGGTAAAAGTATTTTATACACAAATATATAGGGAAAATATCGCATTTTATTACGATAATGCTCTAAATTAATAATTTAATAAAAAAATTAACAAATACGTTAATTTCCCTATTTCTGATCTAATTTTTGTAGAGATTGACACTAACGATTTTATCTTATCGATAATATGTTTGAAACAGGCAAAGGCAAATCTTTGGATGCAGCCTCTTTTAACTTCGTAATTTTTTTTAATTTTTAATTTTTGGCGCTATAATAAAATATTTCAATATAACAAAATATAAACAGTGTTTCAGATTTCCAAAAAATACTGAGGTTAAACAAAAATGGTTAAAAATGATAAATAGAGAAGACTGGGTTCCCAAATAATATACAACTATATGTAGCAAGCACTTTGAACAAAAATGTTTTACTCATAGAATTGCACAAAGAGTAAAACTACGTTCTGGTTCAATACCCACATTATTTATACCCGTGCGTAGTTTGTTAGTTATATATATTTACTGTACATCTGTTCATTTCGTTTGCGCATGTTCAAATGTGTACAAATCGTTTTCGTCATCCTTGTGATGTATATTTTTTTTAAACGAAAGTAATAAAGGTACTTACAGTATCACTTATTTTAAACGGCTACTACCACAAACTAATAAGAGTACTAACTAGCTACTACAATACGCCAAATATGGTCACCGACAGTCAGCTTCAAACGAAGAAAGCTACAAATGTGTTTTCACCCGAAGAAACCCTACAGCTTATAATTAGACCGGTTCTCTATAATCAATAGGCCGGAATGCGCCGGTGTAAGCACTGCTGCTTAGCATTAAAAAAAGGTAAAAGGGTGGTTAAAACCTCATTTTTCATCTTAATCACAGATAAGTACATAGTAAATAAACTAATTATATTTGTTTGTAGTTTGTATTGAAGCCGAAATGCAAAGCATAGACATATGTCTACAGAGATATAACCCCAGTACCCAGTAGCTCTACTGCAAACATTTCTGTTATAGACAATTTCCAGAGAAAGAAAAAAAGGAAAAAAACTATTGATATTATTGATTTCTATTGAAAACTTTTAACAGAAAAATATAAGAGCACAAAAAATATTGAAAGGCTTCCCTCACATCAAAATAACATTAGTGCTGTAAAGGTGTCTAGTTCAAACGATTTGTTGCAGCATCTCCTTGAAAGGGTGATTAAGAAAAAACAAAATAAAAAACTAAACAAGAGTATGATACGCAACTAAAGATATTTGCCCTTACTTTACACTTTTATAGGCATAAGGCTTACAATTACGTGATAACAAAATTTGACCTGTGCCTACCACATCCTTGATCACTATGAATCTGGTACCAAAATGTAGGCTGTAAGCCCGGCATCACTAAGGAAGCCGTAAAAGCCATAAATGATAAAAGAAAAGAAAAAAAGATTTGGTCATCGCCCTTACGTTCGACGAAATGTCTATCCGTGAGCACATTGAATTTGACGGTCGTAATCATTATGGCTGTGTTGATGTGGGTAATGGTATTTACGGACATCAAGTAGACAAGGCTTAAGAGGTATTAGTAACCATGGCAGTAGCGATTAATTATTTTTGGAAAATCCCAATTGCTTATTTTTTTGTGAAGAGGATTTACTGATTCACAGAAAGCAACACTTCTAAAATAGTGCATTGCTTCATTATCACATTTTGTAAAAGTTTCTTGTGTCACTTTTGATGGCATAGCATTTAATATAAATTTGGTACAAATACTAGGAGCTAATTTGAGCACCGTTTCATTTAGACCATACTTTTACTATATAGGACAAAAATATTATACAATATTAGATGCATGTCATTTACAAAAGTGGGTTTAGAAATACTTTTGCAGAACACAAAATTTTTATCATCATAATGATATTATTAAATACGAATTTCTTGAAAATCTCTACCAACTTCAACGTGATGTCGGTTTGCATAAAAAAAAAAAAAAAAAAAAAAAAAAAAAAAATTTTTATTATTTTATAAAAAAAAAATTCAAAAAAATTTAACAAATCGTGTACTATAGATACATTAAATACTACAACTAGCCTTAGTGCAATGATGACGCCAAGCGATGATGTGGATATTGGCCCAGGCTAAATCGATAATAAAGATTCTGATTTCGTGTCATCTATGCCATGGATTTCTAAAGGCATGGAATCTGTAGTTAAGTCCATTGTTTAGTACATATTTTGTTGCGTGGTGAAAAAAATCGTAAATAAAATTTAATGTAAATGCTCTGTAAATGTACTTTATAATAAAGCTAGGGAAGGTTCATTTATAAACATAAAGGATGTAGGTGGCCTCGTTTATCCCTCTCAAGACGTTTACGAGATAGGTATTCATTCTGAACGCGTTTTTTCAAAAATATATGAAAGCAAAAAAAGTAAACGAAAATATGTTTCGAATGCCTTGTGTCCTAAAAAAATTATTTTGATATACTTGACATATGTATGATTTGCCAGTAACTCAAATATAAAACTTAATTATTCAATTAATAATAGAAACTTATTTGATTATTAGATTGAAGTATGAAGCAAAAATACCTCTAAGGAGAGCTTACGACATTTTTACAATAAATTACTTATTTTTGGTTCACAAACTTTTTGTTTATTATTTTATTTTTATGCCCTCAAACATAAAGATATTCATTTTGTTAAGAAGATACATACATACATAAACACTCACGCCTGTCACCCAGAGGGGTAGGCAGAGACTATGGACTACCATTTGGCACGATCCTGACATACCTCTTTCGCCTCCTTTACATTCATATATCTACGCATACATGCTCGTCGGTTAAGGGTACTTCTAATGTAGCCCATTTTCAAAATATCGCCAATTTGGTCGATAAACTTTCTTCTAGGGCGTCCCTTCCCGACTCTACCGTTCACATCTGCCATATAAATTTGCTTTGTCACTCTTTCCTCATTCATTCTTTCTACATGAACAAACCACCGAAGCATTCCTTTCTTAATCCTGGTCACAACATCATCTTGCATACAACATTTATCTCTTATCACGCAATTTTGCACCCTGTCATTCAGATTCAAGCCTGGCATACTAACCTAGCATGTTAAGAAGATATACGAAATATTAAAAATTATGTATCTTAGCAACGTTGACTTGTTGATTGTCACTTTATTGTAAACTATAAAATAAAACTTCTATGAATTTTTCTTATATTGTTTATTTGAAACTAATGTATATGTTTTAAATCATAACCATTTTATGATACGGAAAGAGCGCTCTGTATCGATAACTGAAGATGACGCATGGCGCAGTATTATTCGTCTCGCACACATGCGCATTTCACTAACACCAGTACAATCCCACTCCATCGCCAATCTAATATAATATACAACATCTATGTTTGAAGGCATTTCAATATTCTTTCGAATCTTATGATTACAAGAATATAAAAAAAAAACAATATCTCTTAATGTGCTCGTTTTAAATAATTTAAGTAACGGGTCAAACCCCCACGGATCAAACCGAATTCTGTTTCTACCCTGATAACGGATTTTTTTTCGAAAGTTTATGTATATAAAAGTAATTTTACGGATTTTATCGCGTTTATTTCACTACTTTTACTTATTTTTTTAATTCCCGGACGTTTCGGGTGCTTTACAGCAACCATGGTCACGGGGGGGGAATGGTTGCTGTAAAGCACCCGAAACGTCCGGGAATTAAAAAATAAGTAAAAGTAGTGAAATAAACGCGATAAAATCCGTAAAATTACTTTTATTCAATGTGTAGTGTTCGCGTAAATTTAAGAAATCATTAAGTATATGTATATATACGTATAGAATAGTAAAAAATATTACTCGTATAATAGTAACTTTCGAACTTTAGAATGAAGATACTTATTATTATAATACTTTTTACTTTACACACTTAAATAATTTTATTTTACATTGCTTACTATAATTTATTTTAATAGAGTGATTTGTTCGTGGTACAATTGCAAAGGGCAACACGCAAAATTAGTCACGTCACGTCACGTAGTGGTCTAGTGTGAGTGCGCCTTGCGTTTGTGTGACTGATTATTGCATGTAATAGTTTTAGTAATCTATGATTGTGTTGTGTAGTGCTTTATGGTGTGTTTGTATGTATTTCTGACGCCGTTGTTAGTTGCCTGTCATTTCCATAATTTTGGATTTCATCACTAAAACTTATCAAACTGTCGTCGATAGGTATGTAAAATGTATTTTTCAATGAAATTCGATAATAACTAGACTCTTATCTGTAAGATTATATATGCTAAAGTTGTGCATGTAACTTGTTAGACAGGCGTTGCCTTGTACGTTATGGTATTCATTTAATGAATTTAATGTTACAAAGTTAATGTTTTTTTTATCATTTCTATTGATTACGGTATCGATAAGTTTGTTATCTTTAGATTTAATGAAAAGTTATAGTCATTATTTTGACACGGTGTGGGAGCTGGTAACGCAGTGTAAAACCTATAGAGACACGAAAAAGTCAGTCGGCTTTTCGATGCCGGTCGGTACACTTGTGTTTAAGCTTAGAATATTATGAAATCATAATGGTAGGGTCGTGTTTTGTCCGTTTGTTTGTTTCTGTGGTGTCTGTGAAGTGTTCTAAGTGCTTATTTTGTTGCAGGCTGGCAGAATGCTAAAATTCATAAGGGGGAAGGGTCAACAGCCCTCTGCTGAACGACAGAAGCTTCAAAATGAACTGTTTGCTTTTCGAAAGGTAAGTCCTTCGCAAATATAACCATTAATTCGTAACATAATATATCCTGGTTTGAAAATTAAATATCAATTTAATAAACTGTTCTAATTTTATAATAAGCCTAATCATACAAAATATAATGTGTGTGTATTTTGTTTAAAGTTATCTTATTGAATTATATGGTCACTATTTTAAGGGCTAGAATTATTGTTTAGATTATTTTGATGTAATATCATCTGAAATTATCATCAAAATTAAACCTTTACTTTAAAAATAAAATCAATGTCAATGAAATCTACGATAAAGCAGTAACCACATTAATCATTTTCAAGTGTTGCTTATATAAGCTCAATTTTATCATTATTTATAATGAAATGTGGATTTATCAATCATTAAAACCAAAAAAATTAAATTTAATGGTTTAATTGCTACTTTAGAGGACTACAAAACTAATTTCATGTTAAGTTCTAATCTACTCTTCACAAATTGATGTATGAAAAAATGACTTTATCCTATATTGATACCTTAAAAAAAGGGTTACAAAGGTGGAATACTCTCTTAGTCAACCCCGGGCATAGTGAAATATAATAAAAGCCGGAATTCTTTTTATTTTCATTAAAGAAAATGTGAAAATAATGTTGCTTGTTGTAGTGGTGTATCTAACAGATTGAAGGTAAAGGGTTGCCATCCCAGGCAAGATCAACATTTGTTTTAACACAAATGGTATGTTTTAATTAAAGAGAGGTTCTCACAAAGCATCTAAATTGATCTGTTCACTGGATAGATAAACTCAAATAATATTCATAAGTTTATCATCACAGTCAAAATCGGAAGAAATTGACAACAAAACATCAAGTTTTATTTAATCTTATAAATTCAGTTTTGGCATATTTTAATACTAAATATTTTATCTTGTTGTTTGAAATAAAATGGTATATTAGTAATCATTAACCTGAATTACAGTGTTTGTATAATACAATCTTATCATGCCTAGCCCTACAATGAATTTGCTTTAAGATTAGACAAGTCGGTACATTTTAATGGTTACTGTGGTTCATTTGCTGTGTAAAAACAGGCCATGGCCACTAAAATAGATTTGTTATGAAATTGTTTCTTATCATGTTTATGTTTTAATGCAATTCACTTGGTACTATTATCCTACTATAATATTATCCTATACTTTTAGTAAAAAAATCTTTTATGTATATATTATATACATGAAATTGTTTTCTCTAAAATGGCTTTTAATGTTGTGGATGAAATTTTGTATTTAGATAATATTTTACTTGCCAGGTTTATATAGATGCAGTAACATTTTTTTTAATGCTGAGTCAAGCATCTCTCAATTAATATAAATAGAAATGAAATATTAATTAGATTCTACACATAAAATGTAAGCACCACACCCTAGTGCTTTTCTTTCTGACTGACTTGTGCTCTTATCTCTGTCCAATGCAGTTGTTTACTTTTCTATGAAACTGACTGTATTTTTATAAAATTTGGCATATCTAATAAATGTAGTGTGAACAATGCACAGATTAATTTTCGTATCTCTAGCTATTTCAATTATATAAAAATCAAGATACACAACACAAACAAATTTGTATATGTATAGAGAGAAACATGCATGTCGTTGATAATAATAATAATATTTATTGAATCCAAACATACTTTACATAAAAACAAAAACTTAAAAAATTACATTAACAAGATTTAATCTAACTCAATACTATATTAAGGTATCTTTAGCAACCGTGCTAGGTCATAGACCTGTGTTACAGCTGCTAAGCCCTCCCCATTAAATACATACCAAATAGAAAAACAAAAACATAAAAACAATTTTGCCACAATCAAGAAATGAATTAAAGTGGGAAGAAGTAAAATAATTAGCTATGTACTATTCTGACAAATGGCTCAATAATATTATAGCTAAATGTTTAATTGTATGGTACAAAAATAAGGCAGGAGAGATATTCTATAAATATGTCACACATTTATATTAATATTCGAATGTTATAGTGAACATTTACAAGTTTTTATTCTATATTCCACATAAAAAATAATTGAAACTTAGTGAGTAGTGACTCAGTTAATATTATATTTTCTAAAAACAATAAAATATAATATGTAAAATGTTCGTTTAATATTGCAGATTTGTTAATTATAACCAATATTACAAGCTTAGAACTTAGTGTAAAATTAATATGTAGATGTCAGTGTGTATTATATGAGTGTGTGTTTGTGAGTGTGTAATTATGTTTATGTGTGTATGTATGTATGTGTATATATTTTGCTTGACAGTTTGCATTTTTACCAACTATATTTAATAATTATTCAGTTTCCTCATAAGATAAAGACAATAAAAACTTGGTTAGAACTTGCTTACATTTAAAACGTGTTAGCATATATATTTTTATAACTTATAATATTGCTAATTTTTTTATAAAGATAAGGTCCCAAAAGTTTGAAGTAGTGTGAATGATGGATACAGTTGTCTCGGTGTTCTTGTTTAGTAGTGGGCTTGTGATGGACTGTAATGGTAGTGGTAGTGTAACACAAAATGTATAAAGATTAGACAATATATATAAATTTCTTTTTCCTTTATTTTAATGTTTAATTTGAACTATATTATAATTAATAACTCCGCCCCACTTTTGCCCACGATACAGTTATACCTAGTATTATCTGTATCATATCATAATTTTTAACTGTATTTTTATTCGTGATAGAGCCATGCTACAGTTATATTAGTAGTATAGTTATAGCATGAATAGGTCGGCTCGACCAGGGAAGCACCACACTATCACAGAATACCGGTGTAAAATAGTAGCTTAATGCTGCTGTGTTTCCATATGGTCAGTGTAGAGAACCGGAGACCTTTTTTACTGGAAACAAGGTATCCCTTTTTAGTCCTCACGGGATTACAATGCATCTGCATTTTGATTCGTAATCAAGGATAGATGTAGATGTTTATGGGCCACCGCAACCACTTACCATCAGGTGGACAGTGTGCTTGTTTGTCACCATATAAAAAATGTTTTGTTTTTCTATTGCATAGTGGTGGTGTAAGGATATCCGCATAAACATATCATCTCGTGGGTGGTGTAAGAAGCGACAGATGAAAAAAATGAGCAGTAGTGTCTCCCTAATAAAAGCTAAAAAATAAAAACTACACTTGGCAAATACCACCTGTTATGAGGCAATCTGTGGGAGAGATCTATGTTCGTCAGTTGGAATTTTGATGCAATTAAATTTTTAGTGAAGTATGTAATTATTACTTTACTACTAGGGTTTTATGTAAACAACAAAAGTATAACTTTTTCTTCTTCACCACCTCGTAAATGTCTACTGCTGGACATAGGCCTCTCCTGCTGTTGGAAGGATTTGCCTTAGTTGCCATGCTTAAAAGGTTACAGGTCTAGACTTCTCATACCTTTAACGATTCTGAGTAATTTCCATCTGGCGTAAACATGCTAATTATATATAATAGGAAGCCATGATATCCTTTTGGCACATTCCTTAGTCTTCATAGTTCTGTTAAAACATATAAAAATTGTGCAATTAAAAATCCAAAGAAAAGTGATTAAACTTCTGGGAAGCAAGCATAAAATCTTTTTTACTTATTATTATGTGACACATATTTTAGTTATTATTTATTGTCAGTCATCAAAATCACTTAATGAATTAGACATAATGACAATGTTATTAAGTTAAAATTGAGTCACAGCCAAACCCAGTAATTGCTACACGCGCGCCTACATGATGTAACAGTTTTAAATAAATGGATTTCAAGGGCATCAAACTGTTTAATTTAGTCAATTGAAAGGTTTAGACTGCACACTACATAATAAATCATAAATAAATAATTATTTATTTCAAAGCCAATACAATACACTATGTAATAGTAGTTACAAAACTGGCATATTAGTAGTATGTTAAAATAAATTGTTTATTTTTTTATGGGTTTACAATACATCCATTTGTCCAAAAGTGTCGAGTCTCATCGATCATAAAGTACTAAGGATACTCTTAGAAGTGGAACGTAGGTGCACTAATATGGAGGTGGATTGCTTTTTCATAAAGACCATGAAGCCTTTAACGCGCGCCTCTGCGGACATGTCCGAGTTGACAGCGGCACCCCTACTCTGGAGCTACTGACCTCAAATGCGTGGTTATATTGCATGTTTTAATCGTTATACGTGTATAGTATAGCTAACTCACAGGCTTATACGTGGTAGAGCCACGCTGCTATATTATGGTTGTAGCATGAATTGGGTCTGTTCAACCCGGGAAGGACCACACTCTAACAGAACACCAGCGTAAAATAGCAGCTCAATGCTGCTGTGTTTCGTATGGTGAGTGTAGAGAACCGGAGACCCGTTTTACTGAAACGAGGCATTCCATCTTAGTCCTGTGGATTGATAACGCATCTGCATTTTGATTTTATCGAGGATAAATGTAAATGTCGCCACAGCATTCACTTACCATCAGGTGGACAGTGTGTCACCCCTAATCCTTAAAAAAAGGCTGTACTTACAAAAGCATTGGCAATTATGTTTTAAGGAGTATCTACTTTACTGGCTTAGTGCATCATGCAAACCTATGAGCCAGCATGTTCCAGCGGATAGCCAACAATCATATACATATAATTTCCGCATTAGCCTTGAAGTTACTCTCGTTCCTCCACGAACGTCCACTAGATGGTATGATACAGGTCCACTGGATAGTTACTGCAGCCCATGGACATCTGGAATTAACTTCGAACACAGAAAGCTTCAGATGCATTATCAACCTTGAGAACTGACATAAAATGTCTCATAGTCTGTAATCGTACCAGTTCTCCATTTTACACCAAAAAACAGCAATGAGTGTACTGCTCTTTGAAAGTCAAAAGGACTGCTCAAACATAGCACAAAATGTTTCAATACGGAATTAATGATAAACAAACAGAAGTATTCCCTTTGGATTAAATTTTTCGACGTGGTAAGAGCCACGCTGCAGCTATATTGTGGTTGCAGCAC